TTTATCCAGTAATTATGCATCAAGCGGTTAAATGGTCTCAGAAACTCTTAATTAAGCCGTTTTGAAACTAGTATCCATTGTACTATGCTCMTGAACACTCAGAACTAATTATCATATTTTGATACCATATATGGGAAATCTAATATTCCGGAGCATGGAACCTAAGRAATGTACAGCGGCTACACGTTTCAGTCCTCTCTTGAGTTTCTGTCATGTTTATCTGTTCCTTATTACCTGTCATTTTTGAATTTAACTTCTGCAGTAGTTACAAGTTTGGATTGGATTAATCTAAATTTATGTATTTTGAATAAAGTTTGTTTCATATGATGATGTTTATGTTGTCTGTATAATATATGCAACATATATACCCATTGTTATGGCGTGTTCAGCTGACCAATCTATCAATACTTGCGGGAAAACCCTGATTCTATTATTATTAGTTCCTGTCGAATTGTRTTAGGGGATCACCATGACAACTTACAGACGTCATATCATGGTACATGYGTTTTGAAGATTGATGCGAGTCAGATTTTATATGACGGTATTCCATARCCTGTRMAGCTCTCACTTCGGATGTCAAAAAATAATGCCAATCTAGGTAAGGGTTACTGTGACTCGCCTTGAATGAAATCAAATCATCTTTTTATATTTCGTGTCCTTTAAATAATAGAGTCAATAGCACCGTTATAATTCACTTTCTACGTTGTTTTCAGGTATGAACAAAGCTGAACCATCTGATGACGAAATCCATGTCACTGAACAAATCTGTTGCAACTTCATTGCAGGGAATAACCCACCATGCAACAAGTTGCAAAAAGTCCTCATAGAAGTGCTAGAGCCCAACAATCTTGATAAGCTGCTTTTCACTTTGACAAAAATGATTGACCAAAACGAACTGACAGATATTCTAGCTTTCCTAAGATCGATGGAAGTGCTTGATTGCTCGGATTGTGAGTGTATTAACAATAAAGAAATGACAACCAAGAAAGTTATTGCACTGGTTGATGTATTGAACCAAAGAGGTCCTCACAAACTTTGGTACATGTTGCATGCATTACAGCCAAAACATAAGATCTTTTTTAGCGAGAAACATGGCAACATCAAGTGCTGCAGTAAGTTAGAACAACAGTTGTTTCTTAAAATTATTTGATAATTGTACTTGTTATACAACTTATATACTTTCAATTTTGTACTTTACTAAAAGTAAAACCCGGAACTTTAAGGAAACCATSTTTTCTAAGTGGCGCAAGTTTCAAGCCTGGGTGATTATGTAAATATCCAAAGCTCCAAACGGTTACACTCAGTCTAGTACTCCTAACGTAGTTGTTATGTGTATTGGCCTAGTTTACTAAAAGTACATTCATCATGTAATTCGGTGGGGAGAGATACATGCAAGGTTCCCGTATGCAAGGGGCTGTGTACTATATTATCCTTACGGAAAATAATGGTGTTTTATGACCCCCACCWGTAAATTACCTGTAAATGTTTCTGTAAAGTTACTGTACTGATTTCTGGACTATCTAAATTTATTTTTTTCAAAACGATTATTCATTCCATTGGTATACTTATTCCCCTCGCTCCCCCTGGATTTTCAACGGCTTCTCGGGTCTCAACTTCGGATAATTACTGCGCAGTTTCTTGCTATCTTAGAGATTGCAACCTTACGCGTTTATTTTTTTTCTTCTAGTCTGTGATGACGTAGAGCGTATGCAAATAGGGAAAGGTAAGGTTAGTTGATGTAGTGGCATAAAGAGCATGTAGCTGTGAATAGTAACTTTTAAAAAAAAAATATTATCTATAATGTATCACAATGTACGCCTGATCGCTCAACCAGAATGTAAAAAGTTAACTATTTTAAAAACGTTTTAAGAGTGTCTTTACGAGTTGAAACTCATAAGTTACACCTTATGTTATCAATCAAAACCAATTCTCTGTGTGGTTTTATTATATCAGTATATTTAGATGCTCGAGGGGATTGTGATTGGCCGAAACTTGCCAAGCGTGTGTTCTSAATATCAACAGTGCACAGTACAGACAAAAGCCGAAATTTTGAAAATCCAGACTATTTTTTGGCGATTTATAATGAAATGAAGTACAAGAATCCCTACAAAAGTTTAGATTGTTGTTATTTATTCATGATAAGAAATAGCATGGGCATTGTAACATCATCGACGTATTTAGCTCATGTCATGAGTAAGGTCTATATCAGCTATATATAGAACCACTGTTATTTGTAATGAATTGTAGTTCTTACCAGGGGGGGACTCCCTTATAAAAGTTGGTAGGTATGCTCGACGGAACTTTTAGGGTCGAAAATAAAACCCTCGCGTACCTTTTGGGGTCCTGAGCTGACTCCGTACCTTTTAGGATCAATTTTCGGACAACGGGAAAAAATTGAAGAAGTGTTAATAAAGAAATAGATTTTATTCACCTCAACAATCTATCGACATTGATCAGTCTACAGTTTGTTAAACTTGAGCTTTTCTCTTATTAAAGACGTCAGAAATGCTCGTACCTTTTAGGGTCTGGAATCGATACCTGAATTAATTTATGCGTACCTTTTAGGGTCATTTTTCAATCCGTCCGTCGAGCATACCTACCATCTTTTATAAGGGAGTACGCCCCGGGAGTACTGTAGAGCGTGTACATGATTCTGGAGAGGAGTTAACCAGTATCTAAGTTATAT